AAATCTCTGGTATCGACACACAATGGAATACTGTGTCCCTCAAAAACGGTGATGAAACACCTCATGACATGGAGGGATCTGGAAGACACCATGCTGAGTGAAGTTCGTCAATCACAAAAGGAGAAATACTGTATGAGTCCACTGTTATAGGGACAAGCAACAGAATGGCACAAGCTCAAGCTTGTAGGCCATCCGGTTTGCTGGACAGGGAGGCCAGACAGCTTGTTAGAGAGCCTGACCAATACCAATGAACTACACACCCTCTGCTCCAGGTAAGTATTTTGAAGGTCACTTTGCCAGAGGGTGCCTCATGTCTGCTGGGATCAAATGGTCAAGAGAGGGGAAAGGGATTCTGTCTGTTGAGTGGCTGTCAAGCAAATCTATGATGAGGTCCCCCCGGACAGGTAGACAACCCTATCAGAGGGATGAGGGACACTGATGGGAAAACAAGTCAAGAGAGGGGAAAGGGAGAAAACCCGTCTGGAGGAAAACACTGCATGTCTGTTGGTAGGAAGAGAGAGAGGACTGACCTCCTTCTGGGGGTGGCGGTGGGGAATAACTGAAATTGATTTTGGGGACCATGGGAGGGGAGTGTCTTTGGTGGTATGCACAGAATAGGCCACATTGACCTGGCTTCTGGGTGCGTCCTGGGGACTCAGGTGAGGTGCCGTGGAATGGTGGGACACTCGATCCTGGCTCTTCAAGGTGCGCAACACGCTCCAGAGGCTGCATCTGTGAGATCAGGTGCGGAAACTCCCACTGGGTGAACTGGACGCCATGTCAGACACACTTGTAACCTGAGGACGTAAGTCGGAAGATACATGATGTCTGGGGAAGCGGGAGACACCTGTACCAAGATTGTTGAACTGTTGGTCGGTGGACAGAGATGGTCTTGCTACATGCCCTATATGCTGTATAGTATATGTATTATTCCAGCAAACTTGTGTCAGACATTCTCGTTCATTATTATTATAAATATCCCTGATAATTAACCCCTGTTGTTTGTGTAAATTCTGTCCAGTCACGAATGGATTGATTCTGTACTTGTGAATCATTCAGGTACTGTGATATGGAGTTAGCCTACATTGGCCCAATATCCCTCTCTCAACAGGGATTTAAAAATTAGTACCAGGGGCTAATCAAAGACAATATGAAGGGAAGATCATTATGCCCCAGGGGGAGGATTGATAAGACTCTCTACCATAAATAAACAAGGAGGTTTTGAAAGGGAGCCAACAGAAGATAAAAACAAGCAAACAAATAGAAAACATAGATCCAGGAATGGGTTTTGGGCCCCCACTAAATCTTAGCTCCAACTTAAGAACAATTAGTTCTTACATCATGGCCCTGTTTGATACTTGCCCTCAGGAAGGGGACACAAAGGGCATGGTGCTAGAGCAAAATGTGGTGAAGGAATTAGATGGTGCCTGGCTATCATGTAAAATAGTGTCTGGGATCTGAAAGGCTTGTCTCCAAACAAGCAGCCATCTAAATGAAATGTCAACTAAGTCCACATGGAAGTACACCGTCATCAGTCACTGAAGGATTCTAAATCATATAATCCAAAGTTGAAGGGGGTATTAGTATCAGAGCCTAAATTATGAGAATCGGGGTTTGCAGAAGGGCATGGATGACAGTGGTAGGCCAAGATACATTTGTGGGATCTACATAGGAAATAAGCCTCCGGTGATCTCCCACTCTCCATAATTGAGGGATGGGAGGAAAGTGGTTACTGAACAGAGTGAATTGGAGAGATGAGGCTAGATTAAGGGTTAAACCTGACTTGCACAGTTAAAACTTGACACGCGCCCCTCTGATGCACGCTAGACCTGATCTGGTTTTCAACATTTTCTGTATTTTTGTTTTGTTTTTGTCTGTTCACATTAGGGTTATTTCAGAGGTGCCATGTCATTGGGGGCCACCCTCTTGAAGTTGTGTTATATGTTTTGTTTTTTGGTATATGAAAACCAGGATTGATGAAACTATAGGGACAGCAAGTAGAATATGGTTTTTGGTGGGGCGGTGGGGGGTGGGGAGGTACAGTGGTGGTGGTGGGGGGTAGGGTGGAACAAACTCACAATCATGAAGTCAAGTCTGACACATGGTGACCCCAAAGCACAGGGTACAACTACTCCTGTGGGTTTCTGAGACTCTACTCTTGTTTTTAAAAAAGTCCAGGGATCCAATAGGAGCTTCAAGGTAGAGTAAGAGAAACATACGGCACAATAGTTAAAATCACAGACTTATGGCCTTGACCCCATACCTGTCGATCCCCCACTCACCAGAATTTTGCTCTCCTGATGTTTCAATCTGTCTATTTGGTTAGACATGACTTAACTAATTCACCAAGACTTAGAAAGTCTTAGGAACTTTGGTGGTGTAGTGGTTATGTGTTGGGCTGCAATCCTCATGGTCAGTAGTTTGAAACTACCAGCAGCTCCACAGAGAAAGACTGGGCTTTCTATTCCCACAAACGGTTACAGTCTCAGAAACGCACAGGGGGTCACTAGGAGTCAACATTGACTCCATGGTAATGAGTTTTTGTTTGACAGATTTTGAGGTTTCCCTACAGGTGAGAAAATGAGCCCATCTTCATCTGAGGGGCATAACTGAGCCAACAATACCTGCAGCTGGGATTCAGTCGCACCCTTCCGAGCGAAGAAAACAATTGGAGGACCAGAGGGCCTAGATTTCTCCAGAAAACCCCTGCCTCCACACCCTGACTGTAAATCAGTCCTTAACTGTTGCTCCAGGGGCAGATTTTGATGGAAGCGGACACAGTCTTCTTGAGCACTCACTAACTCTAACCCACCCCCCCCATCCAGTCGATTCTGACTCAAAGGGACTCTATATCGGAGCTGCCCCTGTGGGTTTCCGAGGCTGCAACCCTTTACGGGAGTAGAAAACCTCATCTTTCTCTCCCGGAGCAGCTGGTGGTTTTGAACTGCTGACCTGAAGGTTAGCAGCGGAACCCCTAACCCGCTAAACCACCTGGGCTGAATATTCTCCCTCTCTCTGTCGCCAGTATCTGGTGAATTGGCTTGCTTACAAGTGGGTGCCCCAACGCCCACTTTTCGTGAACATTTCCACCCTCCACCCTCCCCTCCCCAGATTATTCCATAACCTCCCACAGCTCCTACCCTTCCGTCCTGCCTAAAAGGTTCCAGCACTCTACACTCTACACTCCCATCTGGGTCCTGCAGGGGCTATTCAGTCTGGGGTCTCCGTCACTCACAGATTCACTGAGGTTCATGTTGTGAAAGAAATCGATTGCCTGATAATCCCACCTTGTGTGACCAGGACATTTTCTTTAAATACTTTATTGTGTTTTAGGCAAAATTTTACACAGCAATTTAGGGTTCCCTTGAACAATTTGCATACAAATTGCTCGTTTGCAATTTTCACAATGGATCAGCACTCTCATAAAATCCTTTGTTTGCTCTATTTCCATTGATCTAGTTTCTCTTCCCTCCTAGGAGTCTCCTCTTTGCCTGGAAGTAAAGGTTAACCATTTGAACTTCATAGCCAAGTTTAAAGGTGGGTTTCGGGCACTAGTCTTGGGGGTTCCTCCAGCCTCTGTTGATCCAGCAGGTTTGATAGGACCCTGTGAGGGAGTCGGTGGCTGTTGGGACTACTAGCATTTCCCCATTTCTCTGGTTACCTATGTTTATAAACTCATTTATCTGGAAAGCAAAGTGAGAGTTTCAAAGAAAAGCCAGGATCAATTGTCCCTGGGGACAAGTAGACCTGGAGGCGGGTGGGTGAGCAGGTGGGTGGCGGCTTTGCCCACCGACTCTGGACGCCCAGACTCAGGGTCCTGGTTTACTGCCTCAGCAGAGACCGCTCTCCAGAAGCCACACCCGCCTGCGCTCCAGTTGTCACCAGCAAGGGGCGGGGCCTGGCGGGTTTAAAAGCACGGCGGGCCGAGAGACCAGACTTCGTGTCCCAGGGCCGCGCAGCACGGTCTTGGCTCAGGACTGTCCCGTGAGCCGCCAGGACCCCACTGACTTCTCGCAGCCCCGCACTCCCGCCTCCTCGCCATGGCCAAGGTGAGTGCGTCCCAGGACCTGCTGCAGGGGCGGGGGAGGACGGGCGTCAGGGAGAAATGCCGGGACCCTGGGACAGGAGGGACTTCGAAGCTGCAGCATTGGTGTTTTGAGAATACTCTGGCCTCACCTTGTACGATATCCACCCCCCACCCCCCTCCACACACACTGGAGAATGCTAGGGGTGAGACCCCAGGCCGGGTTGGGTAGAGAATTCAATTCAAAATTTGGGGGAAAGGTCATGGGCTCAAGGTGAGGGAGGAAGGGGTTGGGGAACCAAGGGGGTATGGTGGACTTCGGAAAGTTGCATCAGCAGGCTGCTCTGTCTGTCCCCCACGGTGAGGTTCACCTGCTAAGCAGACAAGGGGAACCCTGGGCATAGTTATTAGCTATGAGTTGGGCTGATAACCTCAAGGTGAGTTGTTTGAGACCATCAAGCCTCCAAGGGAGAAAGCAGGCTTTCTACTCCTGTTAAGAGTTCATCTCTGGGGGGCAGTTCTACCCAACCCTACAGGGTTATCGGAAACCCCTCGATGGCAGTGAGAGGGAAAGGGACGCACGTCGGGGCGTCCTCTAGGGAATAAAGAGAGCAAGAGGGGGAGACTTGGCCCTCCTTGAAGGGATCTTGCCTGCCTGCCCCACCCCCAGGAAGATCCCTTCTCTGGGAAGCCCTGAAGCCCTTACTTGTCCCACCCAACCTCCCTATAAATAGAAGAGATGGAAAAGGGAGTTAAAGAGAGATTGGAGGAGTTGTTGCTTGAAGGTGGCTGAGAGCAACTGTCTAGTCCTTTCTCCTACCCTCCCCAGACCAAGGGTATGAGAAGTGGGGAGGACTCTATGCCCTGTCCCTGCCTGTCCCTGATCCACAGAGAACCCCTCACTGGAGGAAGGGCTTCACAAGTTCCATTTGGGGCCAACATTGCACCTCTGTTTCTCTTTCAGAAAACACGAGGCTTTTACTCAATAGAGATGAGTGACACAGAGGACAGGGGGGAGACGAAGAAGGGGAAGCCCAAGGCCCCCAACAACGCGTACTGGAAATGCAAGGAGAATCACCCGAAAGAGGAGATTAAGGAAGAACCTGAACTGGTCAGTCGCTTTAAGTCTTAAGTCCCATTGAGCGGTGCTCTCCTGAGAGCTTTGTGCTCCAACAAAAGAATCATCTAGATCACGCAACCGAACATTCTCTTGATGTTTGTATTATGGTTTAAGAAAGGGTGGGGTGGGGGTGGGGAGTGCTGTGATAACATCTGGCAGAGTCAGGCCCAGTGCAGGATTCCTGCATGTTCTTGGAGCCTGTCCCAGGTAGAACTCAAGAGGGGGAAAACCTCCTAACTCTCTTTCCTGCTGGTTTAAGTGAGATGTAAATAATCGCTTGCCAGTTTTTAGCCAGTGAAGTAAAAGTATTTGAGCCAGAGCCTATTGAGGAAGATAGCAGACCTCCATGGGTTTCTGGGGAAAAGACAGCCACTTTAGATGATAAACCCGACACTAGGTGAACTTGATTTAAATCCTAGTTTGATCGAAGCTTCCGTTTCCTCTTTTGGACAATAGAAACTATTACTGGTGCTGAGCCCGGAATGGGATAAAAAGCTTGGATTGAGACTGGGGGGCAGAGCCGATGCTCCAGAAGCAGGAATGATTTTTTGTGCATCTCTAGCACTTAGGATCGAAACAAACATAGCTGCTCTTTCTTGGCGTAGCTGTTTACATCATGACGAGATGTCCATCTGTTGTGTGTGGGTTTATAAAAGTGAAAACCGATTTGTTTTTAGCACTTCGTGCAGCTCCATCCCAGAAGAAAACAATGTGCATGGATCAGACTGTGTTCTCTGGCTTCCCTGATGAGGAAGGAGCATTTCTTCTTGTTTCTCCTTCCCCCCTTACATTCTCCGCAAGAGTTCTTTACATTGAGACAGCTTCATGCTCTTGTGTTGTGATGTCTCAGGTGCTTAGAAGCTTGATTCTAATCTGAATAAATATCAGCAGGTTGGTAATGGCACCGTGGGCATCACTGGGCAGCGATGCACAAAGTCAGTAGTTTGAAATCACCTGCTCCCAGGGAGCGAGACTTGACTTCCTACTCCTGGAAAGAGTTACGGTCTCAGAAACTCAAAGGGTCAATTCTACCCTGACCTTTATGAGTCAGCATCAACTCAAATGGCAGTGAATTTGGTCTGGGTTTTAATGACCCATGCCTGTGCTGTTCCCACGATGGCCAACAGGGGTCGTGAAGACACCCATACTCCCTGAAATCTGGACCTATAGGAAGATGGAAGGTATTTGGCCTCAAGGCACAGTCCATCTCTAGGCATGAGGTCCATCCCTTGGTGGGATCTATCCAGAGTTTAGCATGCATGTGGTGATGTGCTTGGTTGTTTATCTATCTGTGGGCCTCCGGAGTCAGTTGGACTCTGCCTTCATCTTTCCAGTCCCTGTGGTGTCCCAATCAAATGGTTAGATGGAATGAGTGTGCAAAGCAGGAGCTGGTGGGGAGAAGGCAAGATGAAGATGAAGAAAGATAGCTTATTGGATGACTAAATCTGCAACATGAAACTTTTCCTACATACCATAATTACGAAAAGAGACAGTTGTGGTATCAATTCCAGCACGGATGTCGGACACTCAGGACTTGAAGAATCAAGCCATTAGGGAAAAATAAGTGTAAATACACGGTGTCCCTCCTGAGTGCTGGGTTTTCTAGGGGCTAAAGAAGACTTACCCGTGGGTTTTCTGAAGCTACATCAGGGTACAACCTTCTGCATAACCCACCCATCTCCCCCTGCCACTCCCACATTCTACAATGTATAGGGTACCCCTCACCCCCCACACAGCAAAGAATTGTCCAGTTCCCATTATCAAATGTGCTGAAAGTGAAAAGCCAGCTTCAGCATAGGTTTGCTGTGAGTCAGAATGCTCTGAATGTCACCCAAGAGCAGTCCGGTGGCTCTGTGGTACAGTTAGCAAGGGAGGGCCCACGGCTGTTTGGCAAGTGTTTGTCTGTGGGGTTTCTCTAACCAGGAACTTCTTGAGTTCTATTACTTGAATGAGGAAGAAAGACTCGCTTTCTGGTGCCAGAGACACCCTGTTGGGTCTGCACGGCTAAGGAGGTGTCCACAGACACGTTTCTGGCAGGTGTGCGAGTGGGTTATTGAGTGAGCTGCAGTGGGTCTAGTTTGGTATTACTCAGTAACAGATGTTTAGGTCTGAATTCAGTATCCACATATGAGAACCCGGAAGACAAGTATCTTAGGACATACGCATGTGCTGGACAACATGTGTTGATTAAATCTAATGACTGCTCAACAAACAAAACAAAATCCAAACTCACTGCTGTTTGCCAGGGACAACTA